TTTTAGTGAAAGAACCTTTTCCGGGAGCTACAAGCAAATTACTCACTCGCCAAAATCGGTAAGTCCGGTTGACATTTAGACATACAATATTAATTTTCAAAAACCTCAACACTCGTATTCAAAAAATTTCCTTTTCGCATGGGAATTAGCAATAATACACATATATATAAATACTAGAAAGATACCCACGCTACACTACAATCGAATAATCATTATATGTGTAAGATCGGTATTCTTATAGTGCGAATTGTGTACGAGAGATCGAATGTATTTGTTGTATGAAACTGTTTCATTTTTTTTACGAGCTTTGGTCTTTCATTTTTTTATGTATTTTTTTCCGAGTGTTAATCGGTGGTTTTTTACAATCGATTATCAATAACGAAAGAAATTCTTTTAATATTATAAATCGATGCATGCATGAACTTACAATGGTTTTTGCGTTTGATTGCTATCGGTATTCATAAGGTGTCTATTGATTCAAGCATGCATATGAGGTTGAGTGGATATTTATGTTGATGCATCGGGAGCATCAAAGACATGAGTCACTATAAAGTGGTAGTCTAATGGTGTGTCGCGGAAAAGGTTGCGTCGGATTCAAAAAATCTTGACTCGATTGATTTCGTCCAATAATTGTCGTGGGATGAGTTTTTTGTTGTCATAACCAGAGTTTATGACCAATTGCTTGCATGGATATCCAAAACATGAAGTAGTTGGATTTTCGATGAGCGAGTAGTCGAGCTTGAGATGTATGATCTTGGACGATGCAAGTGATGTTGTATTTGTTAAAAAAAGTGCAAAAAAGGTAGTTTAAGCTAATATAGGAGAAGGAAAATGTATATCTACATGTGCGTTAAACAAAGGCGATTAGAAAATTTTAATTGTAAAGTTGGAAGTTAATTTATGAAGTTGAAAGTTCTTTACTCGTGGGATAGGATCCTTATTGAGTATGCCATGAATCGTGCATGAGTAAATGTTTGGTGATTCTCGAGTCGGTCGATGACAAAATGGCATGCTGAATACCACCATCCCAAAGTTGCATCGAAATGACTATCAAACCTTCTATTGTGTAATAAAGCCTCTATTAAAAAATGCTAATAATATATTTAAAGAGTAGAATAAAAGGCATTAAAGAATGCTATCATATGCCAAAAATGCAATGGATAGTTCCGATCATGAAGCGATATGACCAACAATATCAAGAGCTAATAATATATTTAAAGAGTAGAATAAAAGGCATACTAACCTCAACAAAGGAAGTAGCATGAACAAAGTAATAAGCAAAGCAATAAACTACAATTGTGCAAAATAAAACGGAACGAGACCATGTTACATTAGAGGAAAAAAACCAAAAGAAACAATCGGGATTTTAGCAAAAACGCAAACAAAAAAGCAAATGATTAGAATGAGCAATGACCAAGGCAAGCAAATAACAATGTAGAGGAGAGGACAAAGGCCAAAATAAACCATTTAAGAATGCTATTTAATGGGAAAAAAGCAATGGACGAGTTCTAATTAAGAAGCAATATGACCAACAATACCAAGAGCTAATAATATATTTAAAGAGTAGAATAAAAGGAAAACTAACCTCAACGAAAGGAAGTAACACGACAAAAATAATAAGTAGAAGCGATGAACTACAATCGTGCAAAATAAAACGAACGAATCATGTTAGATTAGAGGAAAAAAATTAAAAGAAACAACCATGAATCTAGCAAAAACGAAAACAGAAAGGCAAACGAATAGAATGAGCAATGACCAAGGAAAGGAAATAACAATGCGAGAGGAGAGGACAAAGGCCAAAATAAACCAAGGGTTTGCGGTTTGGCTCCAAAAAGCGCAAATCTTTCATCTCCAAAGATTTTAACTTAAATTTAGAAAGCAAAAGAATTATGCTAGCATGGACTACAACGGGGAAACAACGATAGCAAAGACGGAATGAGGGGTGAAGAAACTGTCTCGGCCTTCAAAAGGTCATGCGAGGTTAGTTTTTCAAAAGCATTTTAGCATAGCTTAGAAAATTCTTGTTTTGTTCTAATTTTACGACAAATTAACACCTATGGCGGCAATATTGATCCCGAAACATGATGAAAAAAAAAAGCCAAGCGAGAAAATGGAGAAAAATATCAAAAAATGAAAGGAAGAGGCGGATGAGTTCGAAGCGGAACCAAAGACAACAAAAGCATGCAAAATCGGATACAAAAAACACATGCTAATAAAGAGTAGTGACATGATTGTTAATTGAGGTCTAAATTTTCTTTTTCTAATTTTCTATCACTGCTCGTTAAATAAATTTATGACAAAAAATCGTGTTACCATATCTAGATAGGATATAACTTATATGTATTTCGAGTTATATTGTACAATTGTAATATTAGATTGTTTCCATAGACAAATCGGCCTATAAATTATACGAATTTGTAATTAGAATATTCTAGGAGAAGAATCGGCCTATAATCTCTCTTTAGATTATACGAATTGTAGTCGGAGGCAAATCAGCCTATTTACTCTATGTAAATACTTCTATAAATTGAAGAGAAGGAGGAGGACACGGGGGCATTCATCCAAAATTTCTATCTTAGTTTCTTAATCTTGTCATGGTATCGAGCCTGGTTCTAGGGTTTTCGAATAATTTTTTTTAGAGATTACTTCGGTCTTGGCAAATTGTCTTGTTGTTATCTGTTGTTTACAACATCGTCTTGGGATTTTTTTTTTTTGGAGAAATTCTTCAATTTCAACATGGTAGGCGACGGCTCAAATTCTGAATTTTTTGTTAAGTTTAACGGGAAGAATTATTTTACATGGGAATTTCAATTCCAATTATATGTCACTTGGAAAAGAGCTTTGGGGGCATATAGATGGATCTGTTCCAGCTCCAACGAGATGCCACTCTATTGGCTAAATGGAAGGTCACCGATGCTCGGGTGATGTCTTGGATTTACCGGGTCATGTGATCCTCAAATTGTTCTCAATTTACGCCCGTATAGGACTACTAAAAGATGTGGGAATATCCGAACAAGGTGTACAATCGGATGACCTCGGCTCAAAGATTTCACTTGGAATGCGAGATTGCAAATTACGACCGGGGAAGTCTTTCTATTCAAGATTATTTTTCTGGTTTTCGGAATCTATGGGCTGAATTTTTCGATATTGTTTGTACTACGGTCTCCAAAAGCTCTCTTTCGATATATTGGTTGTTCATGAGATTAGGAAGCGTGATCAATTCTTGATGAAATTGCGATCGGATTTTGAAGCTGCTCGTTCCAATTTGATGAACTCGTCATCCTCCTCCTACCTTGGATGACTCGTTTTGGAGAACCGATCCGCAAGGAGCGGCGACTTCTTACACAAGCCACTCTTGAACAAGACAAGTTCATTACATCACCTATGGCATTTTTGGCTCATGGAAAAGGCAAGGCGAGAGATATGAGTAAGGTACGGTGCTTTAGTTGCAAGAATTATGGTCATATTGCCTCAAATTGTAACCGAAATTTTACAACTATTGCAAAAAGTCCGGCCACATCATTAAAGATTGTGCAATTCGCCCTCAAAATCGCCAACATGCTACTTTACAAGCCACCATTAGCACTCCGATTACTCAAAGTACGGTCGAGGTCACACCTACCTCATCAAGCAATGCCGCCTGCAGTTCTTACTCCCGAAATGGTGCAACAAATGATTATTTCTGCTTTTTCAGCTTTGGGGCTTCAAGGTAATGGTACTCTTTCATCTAAAACATGGCTTATTGATTCTAGTGCATCAAATCATATGACTAATTCAGCAAAATTGCTGAAAAATGTCCGATCCATATCTTGGATCGGAACACATTCGGAGTTGCTTAATGGAAACACTTTACCCATTATTCGTTGTTGGAGATATTACTCCAGTTATGAATAATGCTTTTATATCACCTGGACTCTCTAAGAATCTCCTTTCTGTTGGACAACTAGTGGAAAATAATTGTGATGTGCACTTTTCTCATGATGGTTGTTGTGTGTAGGATCGAGTGTCGGGGAAAGTGATCGCGAAGGGGCTTAAAGTTGGACGTTTGTTTCCATTACATCTTTCTATTCCTAGTAATGTTATTTTGGCTTGTTCTTCTATTATCAATAAGAGTGAAATGTGGCATAAACGTTTAGGACATCCTAATTCTGTTATTTTATCCCATTTGTTGAACTCTAAGTTATTGGGAGATATTGATCAACTCAAACCTTCTCATCTGTCTTTTGATTGTTCATCTTGTAAATTGGGAAAAAGCAAAATACTTCCTTTCCCTATTGCTGGTAGTCGTGCGTAAAAATGCTTTGATATGATTCATAGTGATGTTTGGGGAATATCACTCGTTATTTCTCATGCACATTATAAGTATTTTGTGACATTTATCGATGACTATAGTCGATTTACTTGGATTTATTTCCTTCGTTCTAAATCCGATGTTTTCTCGGCTTTCAAGACCTTTCTTACATATGTTGAAACTCAATTTTCTCGCTACTATTAAGGTACTTAGATCCGATTCCGGTGGTGAATACATGTCTACTACGTTTCATGAATTTTTGCATCAAAAAGGTATTCTATCACAACGTTCTTGCCCGTATACACCACAACAAAATGGTGTAGTGGAATGGAAGAATCGTCACCTCTTTGAAGTGACTCGTACTTTGTTACTTGAATCTTCGGTTCCATCTAAATTTTGGGTAGAAGCCTTATCAACGGCAGTATATCTCATTAACCGTTTGCCTTCTCGCACATTGAACCTTGATTCTCCTTATTTTCGTCTTCATCATAAACATCCTAACTCGTCAACATTTACATACATTTGGTTGTGTGTGTTTTGTTTACTTGCCTCCTCATGAACGACATAAGCTTTACGCTCAATCCGTTAAATGTGCATTCATGGGATATAGTCTTAATCACAAAGGTTTTGTTTGTTATGATCCTAATTCTAAGAACTCGTGTGTTTCTCGCAATGTTATTTTTTTTGAAAATCAATTTTTCTTTCCATATCATGTTTCGTCGTCCCCACCGGATGTTGTTGTACTTCCTAGTTTTGATGATTTGTCTTCCTCTATTGACCGATTCAAGCCTCGGATTTGTGTACAAGCGACGTCTTTCAACATTGCCCCTTCCCGATCCCGATCCACCATCCGATCCAACTCCACTCGTCTTGAGAAGAACCACCCGAGTTTCTCATCCTCCCGATCGGTATGGCTCTTATCATACATCTTTTTCTACTCGCATTGTCATCTATTTCGGTGCCATCTTCTTATTATCAAGCAGACTAAACATGAGTGTTGGCAAGAAGCAATGAAGATAAAACTTCAAGCTTGAATAGACAATCGGACTTGGGAAGTTGTTCCTTGGCCACCTAAAGTCAAGCCAATTGGATGTAAATGGGTTTACTCCGTGAAGCTTCGCTCCGATGGGGCTTTGGATCGCTATAAGGCTAGATTGGTGGCTCTTGGTAATCGACAAGAGTATGGTGTAGATTACGAGGAAACATTTGCTCCGAGTGGCAAAAATGACTACGGTACGTATACTTCTTGCTATTGTCGCTTCCAAAGGATGGCCACTTCAACGGATGGATGTAAAAAATGCTTTCCTTCATGGTGATCTTAAAGAGGATATATACATGCACCCTCCTCCTCGGTTTATTTTCGTCTTCTACTTCGAAGTTTGTAAGTTGAAACGCTACTTATATGGTCTCAAACAAGCTCCACGAGCATGGTTTGAGAAGTTCCGCACTACCCCGCTTCAATTTCGGTTTGTACAAAGTCAATATAACTCCTCATTATTTCTTCGCAAGACTTCCACGGGTATTGTCCTTCTTTTAGTCTATGTTGATGATATTGTTATAACCGAAACGGATGCTTTATTAATTATTCAGCTTCAACAACATCTTCAAGCTTCATTTCACATGAAGGATCTTGGTCGCCTTACCTACTTCTTGGGATTGGAGGTTCATACCGATCGCTTCCGGTATATTCTTACATCAGCATAAATACACTCGGGATTTGGTTACCTTGGCTGGACTTCGGGATTCTTCATCCGTTGATACTCCTTTAGAAATGAATGTTAAGTATCACACCGACGAAGGAGACTTGCTTTCGATCCGTTATTGTATCGGCAATTGGTGGGTAGCTTAAACTACCTAACCATTACTAGGCTCGATATCTCCTTTGCTCGTCCAAGCAAGTCGGTCGGTTTATGCACTCTCCGCGACATTTACATCTAGCCGCTGTTCGTCGTATCATTCGTTATCTAAAAGGTACTCCTAGCCGTGGTTTATGCTTTCCTGTTGGATGTTCAATGCACCTTGTTGGCTTTAGTGATGCCTGATTGGGCTGGTTGTCCCAATACTCGTCGATCTATCACTTGGTTGGTGCATGTTTCTCGGGAGTTCTTTAATATCATAGAAAAGTAAGAAGCGGGATCGTGTTTCCAAATCTTCCACCGAGTCGAATATCATGCTATGTCCGTCGCATGCTCCGAAATTACTTGGCTTCGAGGACTTTTGGCCGAGCTCGAATTTCCTCAACATGATCCCACTCCTCTCCACGCCGATAACACAAGTGCCATCCGGATTGCTACCAATCCGAGTTTATCACGAGCGTACGAAGCATATTGAAGTGGATTGTCATTATATAAGAGAAGCAGCTTAACACCGGTGTTCTTTCTCTTCCACATGTTTCCACTTGCCTTGCGGATAGGCGATGTGTTCACTAAATCTCTCACTCGGCAGCGTCACCAATTTCTTATTAACAAATTGATGCTTCTTGATCAACCAAGCATCAATTTGAGGGGGATGTTACCATATCTAGATAGGATATAACTTATATGTATTTCGAGTTATATTGTACAGTCTGTAATATTAGATTGTTTCCATAGACAAATCAGCCTATAAATTATACAGCTGTAATTAGAATATTCTAGGAGAAGAATCAGCCTATAATCTCTCTTTAGATTATACAGCTGTAGTCGAGGCAAATCAGCCTATTTTCTCTATGTAAATACTTCTATAAATTGAAGAGAAGGAGGAGGACACGAGGGCATTCATCCAAAATTTGTATCTTAGTTTCTTAATCTTGTCAATCTGTAACTTGCATAGCCATTAAATTTTTGAATGTTTTTTCTTAACCCGTCTGGATGAAGAGTATAAAAAGAATTTGTTTATTGTACCTAATTTATTATGTCATCCAAAATCTTTAAATCAAAGAACAGCCATTTAATTTTTTTAACTTGTTTAGGTGGAGAGTGTGTAAAAAAGGAGATTTAAGATGCTAGGAAATGGCAAAAATGCAATGGACAGTTCTGATTATGAAGCGATGTGAACAAAAATACCAAGAGCAAGTAATATATTTAAAAAGTAGAAGAAAAGGAAAACTAACTTCAGCAAAGGAAGTAGCACGAACAAAGTAATAAGCAGAGCAAAGGCAACTGACTAAAAACATGCAGAAGAGCAGAGGCCTGACCTATTAACATATATGCAGAGATTTTGTAGGATAGCTTAGATAACAATCAATGGTTTCGTTCATTGTTCAACTGACTAACTAATTTCTATGGTAATTTTTATTTCTATCTACTACACATAATTTAAGTTGTACAACAATCATTTAATTTTTTAAACAGCAGCGTTTTAGAAAAAAAGATGTATAAATTTTAAATTATGGTCTAAATTTAAAAGGTCAGGACATGCTGAATATTTCTTTTGGGTTTGATGACAACACTTATTAAAAACAACGAAGAAACAACCAGCAATTCATTAAAAAGCAAGCAAAATAGCAAATGGACGGAATGAGCAATAACCAAGGCAAAGACTAACGTTGTAGAGAAGAGGATAAAACCCAAAAAAACCAGGGGTTTGCACCTCGGTTTTTTAAAAGGAAAATCTTCCATCTTCATAGCTGGCATAAACCACAACAGGAAAACACGTAGGAAAAATAGAATGAAGGATGAAAAACCTGTTTCTGCTCTCTTTCAAAAGAGGTTAAGCAGCTGAATATTTGAAAAGCATTTTCCCTCAAACCAGCAAGTGAGAGGAATGCATAGCCAGGTTTTAGAACAGTTCAGAATATCAAACACACTCTGAAAAAAAATCTTATTTTCTTCTGATTTAATAACAAAAACTTCCATGGCAGCAACATTGATTCCAGCAACATCGCAAAGAATAGAGGAACACCAATAAGAAAATGCAAGAAAAATATTACAAAATGAAAGGAAGAGATAGATTAGCTTCAAAACAGAAACAAACACAATAGAAAACATGAAAAATCAGATATCCAAAAGCATGCCAATAAAGAGCCAAAAAAAAAAAAAAAAAGCAATGTAACCTTGATAAAGAAAGCAGGACGAAGAAAGCAATTACCACAACAAGAAGACCAAATCCAGCAACATTGGGTAAAAAAAGGGAAGAATAGTAATAGAAATGACAAAAGGAAAGGAAGAAACAAATGAACTTCGAAACAAAAGTGAAAAGAAGAAAATTTTCAAATCGTAATAAAGAGCATGAAAAACCAAACATGTAAAAACACATCGATAAAGAGCATGAGGAAAGGCAAACTAACCTGCAGGAACGAAACAGCAGGAACAAAGCAACTTTCGAAGCATGCCAGCAACACCTTTTCCAATACAAAACGAAAGAAATAGCAACAGTCACGGAACAAAACATGAATTTCAAAATGAAAAAACGAAAAATGCGAAAGAAAACTCAAACAACACGCAGACGAAACAACAAAAAGAGGCAAGTTCAAAATAACATACGCAATAAATAACTCGAAATGCAAAACTTCAAAAGAGAAAAGCGCATCAAAGAGAGGAGTTTTGAGCAAATAACAAATATCCAGTGAATGCAGACCAAAAAAGAACAGAACGATAAAGGGAAACAAAGGCACACCAAGACTGGAAGCGAAAAAAAAAAACAAAGGCAACGACATACAAAAGCAAAAGAAGCAGCAGCGAGAGCGAAAACACCCACAACAACAAACAATTGATCAAGGCAATCCAAATAAAAGGGAAAACAGTAAAGAAAAGCACTGCTGTCAATCAAAAGGGCAAGTTGCAAAAAAAAGTCACTTCCAAAGCAGCTGACACCAAGCAAGGGAAAATGAGAGAAAAAGACATATCTGGTTGTAAAGAGACTAAATGGGAATGAAATAAGCTGATGTGGAATGGCACACAACAGAAGCAAATCTAGATTAAGCAATCTGCTCCGAATCCAACGAAGGTCGAGCAAAACATGATCCGCAATGAACGGGATTGCGCAAGAACAGAAGAATCTGTACAGCATTTTGAAGAATATGCAACAATCATTTCGCCCCTCACCTCCAGCGAGTTGGTGAAGCAGAAAGGAAGAAAAGGAAAAGAAATATAATATGTACATTGGCATTTAATGTAAGCGGCTGATTGATGAAGAGAATGGCCGAATGAAATCAGAAAAAAAAAGGCAACAGAAAAACGTATTTATCTAAAAACAATGAAAAAAAATTCTATGAGAGGAGTTATTGGTTAAGATGATATGGACTATAGTGTATCATGATCAATTTATAAATAGTTTATCAAGAATCACTATGTCTTCTCTATAGAAGGCTCATACTGTTAACATATTGTATCCATATTGAAAGAGGATCCATGATAGTATATCATGGATCAATTATCTAAAAACCTGTGTAAGTAAAAATGGCCCTCGTACCTGGGTGAACGAGGTATGGAATAAACATAGGATTATTTTACAGTGGATGACCATTAATCGATATGTATATCACGGAGTAACTTTAAAAGTTGGACCTACTTGTCTCGTCCTAAAGGCAAGTGTTAATATCTATCCCCTAATACACTTATCCTAAGCTCATAAATATAGGATAATATGTATTACTAATCAATAATTATGCCCTTACTATAGCATTTTCTGATTTATATATAGTCCATACTTATTCAAATATCTATATTTTATACCCTCTATATGTTCATTAATCTATAAAAAGGTCTTAAAATTAATTACTTAGGTTCAAACAAAGTTCTATTATCCTCTTAGATAATTATTCTAGCCGGTAATATAAAATCCATTAATGAGAATAAATTATGGTTCAAACCCCGATTTCCATGAATAGTTGATATTACCAAAATTAGATTATTGGTCCGGTCCTAAGGTCAAAATATTTAAGTTGGTAGTTAAGTTGGTAGTAAATGATTAGATATTTTCCGTACTATTATAACTTAATTTCAGGGG